AATAGAATAGAATAGAATAGAATAGAATAGAATAGAATAGAATAGAACAGAACAGAACAGAATAGAACAGAACGGCATTTATGATTGTCATGGCTCATGTTGGGAGACTATCTGCAGTTGCTTTTTCCACAATTAATTAATTAATTTTAATTAAAATTAAAATGTTAACAGACACACATTATTACTAGATTTTTTTTTAAAAGAAACCTGCCTTCTTCTAGAATCTGAACTCATATTGCACAACTATTTAAACACAGAGAACCAGGTTTGTAGACTGAGGTAAATATCTTTTCTTATGGAGAAATGCTGTTAGCAAAAGAATTGCTTTGTTTTTTAAGAGAGAGTTCTCTATTTTGCAGACATTTGATGAGTTTTGAGCCGTTTCCCATATTTTCATTTGCCACATAAATTTAAGCCACTATATATGAGTTAAAATTAAGAGCCCTTCATCTAGAACTAGGCAAGCATTGTACAACATTCAAATGAGTCACTCCTGTGTAGATGACTTGAACAATGTATAAAAATTGTGGGGTCAGGAAAAATAAAACCACAATATAAGTGATAGGTCTAATTTTGTTGTGCCTAATTATCTTTCTGCAAGCCCAGTCTTATATGTGGGAAAGAGATTAAATACTGTCAAATTTTAATGCCACTTGAGGTTTACTTTGTGATGGGACAAAATGTTACCTGTAAGAATTCTTCCAAACCCAGCTTGGTGAACTCGTATTGTAAGTGCACTCGGAAGTTCATGTCCTCTACTGAATGGACCACAATGTTGATGAATTGCATACAGGCTACCTATAAAAGAAAGAAAAGGCATGGATTGTGACACACGGATTCAGTTATTTACTCTCCTTTAGCTTCTAGAATTTTTTTTAAAAAAAACTGAAGAGAATTTAATTTTTAAAGTGCAGCACACGCTATAGAATATAGCCAAGTCCCATCATTCTTCCATGCATAGATTCTCTCCCTCCATGCGGAGAACCATGGATTAATCTTATGCTGGAGAAGGAGAAGGGGAAGAGGAAGTTTCAGATTTCATTCACTGAGACCATCTAAACCATATTCTTTAGCAATTCCCTAAAGTAAATTGTTCCTTGGGTTGATAAAGACTCCTTACTCCTGCTGATAGATTTATCTGTCTACAATTTTATATAGAAGCCTTTCCCAATCTTTCCTAAAATGACCAATGACTTTCTGAATCCAAGCATATGCTCCACTGTTGACTTGTGGTCTCCTGAATGGGTGAATCCGCGATAGCAACTTAAGCATAGTTGGAGACAGTAGAAGTCCTACATTATCCATGGAATACAGTTAATCCGCAACTTACAACCATACTAGGGATCAGAAAATTTATCATTAAGGAGTGTGGTCATTAAGTGAGACATCATGTGACCACAACTTGCAAGCTTCCCTGCCACCTTCCCCACTGACTTTGCTTGGGAATTCACAAGATCACATGACTGTAGGATACTGCAACAATTATATATGCATGACAGTTGTCAGAATCACAATCAAATGAATGGAAATACTGCAACATTCTAAGCAGGGGTGGGATTCAGTTAGTTCAGACCAGTTTGGGTGAACTGGATGCTAAATTTACATCTGGTTTGCTGAACTGGTAGTTGAACCGGCTGGCTGGCCCCGCCATCCCAGTCCTCCCCTCCCAGGAATCTCCACGTGGCCTGTTTTGGATGAAGGTAAGCGCAGGGTCTGTGCGGAGGCTCTGGGAGGGCAAAAAAGGGGCCTTTCGGAAGTCCGTAAATGGGCCTGTTTCTGGCTTCCGGAGGGCCCCTGGAAAGGGAGGCTGTTTTTGCCCTCCCAGAGGCTCGAGGGAAGCCTCCGGACCCTGGGGAACGCGAAAAACAGCCCTCCCGGAAGTTCCAGTAGGCCATGCCCACTATGGCCACGCCCACCCAGCAACCGAGCACTGAACCGGTTGCTGGGATTTTTGAATTCCACCCATGGTTGTAAGTGAGGGGACCAGTTGTAAGTCACTTTTGCAGGGTCATCAAAAGTTTGATCAGTCGCTAAAGGAATGGTTGTTAAGTCAAGGACTACCTATAAATTGGTTGATTATCCAGACAGAAAATATGCATCTAATCTGTCAATTGTTTCCTCTCATCATTGGGCCCATTGGGCCCAATGAGCAGCTGGCATACACAATTCCAAAGCAAATGTGTTCTTCCATATCTTTTTTCCCTAACACCTTTTTTTCCTACCTACCATGAAGTCAATGTTGCTATCTTCATTACGGAAATATTCCATCAGTTTCTCAAAGCGATGCTGCTCTTTGCATACCTAAGAAAAGAAAACACACCTGAATCATAAACAAGAAGCAGCCCTGATGAGCCTGCCAAATACATTTCATTCCATTGAATCTGACACATTTCCATAAGTGTTCCTCCACATAGCTGTGCAATGCTTACTTTCATGCAGTAATTTCTTTCTCTGGTCACATACCCAGAGAAAGAGAGTTTGGTTATGAGCAGATGGTACAGGAGAGCAAGTACTGTGTTTGAATTATCCCCACAGAAACACAGGTATGAACAGGTTAGCCACCGTTAGGGCCTGCTGGTTTTCCTTTAATCACTTCAGGCTTTATTCATTTTAGCCTTTTATTTATTAGATCAAGCTTCTGAATGTTTTGACAGGATTGACAGCCAAATGGAACATCTAATAAAACACATGATCCACATGTAATCCTTCAGGAGTCATTCACAACAAGAAAGAGGAGATCCCCCCCCCCCCCCCGAAAAATGTGAGGCTCTTTGAGAAGCTACTGATGAAACGATCCCAGAGCTAAGAGTCTCTGACCTGAACTTCTGAAAATGAGACACTAAAGAAAGTTATCCAGAGAAGATCTTGACTGCAAGTAAGCAGCAGCAGGTGTATGAGTATATAAGCAAAATAAGGTGGCATGCAGGCATGGCTAAATCATGAGATTCAGGTTTGTGTTATCTGCTTATTTCTGCTCAGAGACTCAAGGCAATACCAAAAAGATGGGGCAGGCTTCACTGATCAAAAACTCTGCCCAAAGTAATATGAGAAACTTGAGTAGATTTGACTTGGGTTCTCATTTGGTAAAATAAAACAAGTTAATGGTCACTATCCATCAAATCAATTTTTTTTTTTCTGTTTTCATCCCTCCCCATTTACATCTATCTATGGGTTGTCCTTCCATCTAACCATTGTTTCCATCTGCTTCCTTATATTTGCGTACCCTATCTCAATGTAGTGTTCCAGATGTGTCGGGCTTCAAAATCCATAATCCTTTGGATCTTCAGAATTTGAAACCTATATTTTCAAATAGATAATAAAAGCAACCTCACCTCCTTGAAATTCTCAAAGGCAGCCAAAATGATCTCATGGCCGCCTCGCACAAGACACACAGCTGCCAGCAGTTCTAATACCAGGGCTTTTGTCCTGGGAAGGTAAAAGAGAAACACAAAGCTAATGGACAAGCAACTAGAAAAAAAAATTACGGAGCCCACAATGGAGAAACGGTTGGTGTGGAACTTGTGAAAATGGCTACATTAACCTCTTCGATTAGAGAAAAAACAATGTCCTCATTTATGGTTGAATGGAAACTCCTAACAGACTTTTTGCATAAAAGAGAAAAATGCACTTATGATTAGTGGTTTCGATAGTTACAAAAAAAAAGATAATAGATAATAGTGAGTTTTCTTTGGTAAACATAGCATTACTGCAAATAAAATTGGAAGATTCTTTTTTTCTATTTCTTTTGATTCTTTCTTTTTTTCTTTTTTCTTCCTTAATGGCTTTTACTCTTTATTAATTTGTGTTAATTTTTTTATTTGTAAAAGTTTTAATAAAAATTTACAAGGAAGGAAGGGAGGGAGGAGGGAGGGAGGGAGGGGGGGAGGGGAGGGAGGGAGGGAGGGTGGAAGGAAAGAAGGAAGGAAGGAAAGAAGGAAGGAAGGAAGGAAGGAAGATTCATCTGAAAAGAGTAGTACAGGTAGTTCTTGACTTACGACCACAATTGAGCCCAACATTTCTGATGTTAAGCGAAACATTTGTTAAGTGAATTTTGCCTCATTTTATGATCTTTTTTGCCACTGTTGTTAAGTTTCTTGCAGTTGTTAAGTTAGTATCATGGTTGTTAAGTGAATCTGACTTCTCCATTGACTTTGCTTGCAAGAAGATTAGAAAAGGTAATCTCCTCACCTCAGGACATTTCAACAGTCATAACATGAATCAGTTGCCAAGTGTCCAAATTTTAATCATATGACTATGGGAACGCTGCAATTGTGAAAGTGTGAAAAATGGTCATAAATTATTTTTTTTCAGTGTCGTCGTAACTTTGAACAGTCACTAAGTGAGCTGTTGTAAATTGAGGACTATCTGAATTTTTATTCTTATCATACACACAGCACTAACCCTAATGTGGAACTAATTAGGCCTTTCTTGTCAACTTTGGTTATCGGTCCTGGGAATATCGCAACATAAAGTTAAGACTCCATCTGTTGCTCAGCATTTAATAGTTCCTATTAAAAAAAAAAAAACTTCCCCATTTGCAATTCTGTCATTGTTGAGACTGCTCCTTAAAATCAAAAGATATGTCATGATGTACTAAATCTGATCACTATTCCATGTAGCAGAGGGTCTGGCTCTCCCCTTAGAAGTTTCAGATCAAAACCATGAGCCTCATAGAGAGGTCTTTTTATATGTAAAATTACATATATTACATATATTACACGTTCCATCAATGAATTAAGCATTTCCCCCAATATATCTCAAGGAAAGCCTAGGAGGTTTTGTAAACACTGAAGCCACAATCCTATAAGCATCACAGAATATACTAGATCTACAAACTGAAGTTCAGCACATGTTTTACAGTGCAAAGAAAAATTAAACCCTACACATATTCAGTTCGTTGCCTATCTGAGATAAGAAATAATTCTTTTTGAAAGCTGGGAAAGCCAATTCCAGATAGAGTAGAAAATACTTAGCTATAGATACTAGAAGTCTGATTTTTTTTTTTACAAGGAAGACTACTATGCTGTATTTGATGGAGTCCAGTGGATTAGTTCAGATAGATCTCTTTTATTAGGAAACCATATACTCCAACTTTGGTGGAATGAAGTGCAGAATTACTTACTGATTACTAGTGGTCTCCCAAATCAGGAGAATGTGATTTTAGATTAATGAATGGAAAAACCAGATCCCACCAGATGATTTTAAATTCTGCTTATTATTTTTTTTTTCAATGTATATGACTGCCCATCACACTGTGGTGACTTTGGGTGATTAAGAACAGTTAGAAAATAAAATCAACAACAAAATAAAATAAGTAATTGTTAACCAAGGCAAAAACCAATACGCAGCAATTAAAATAACCACATCACATGGACTCTGACAAACTGACCCCCATGCCTGGGCATATAGTCATGACTTCAGGCCCTTGTGAAAAGCTGGCAGAGTCAGGGCCATCTAATCTCTGGGAGGAGGATGTTCCAAAGGGTGGGTGCCATGACAGAAAAAGCTCATTTCCTGGGTCCCCTAGATCAGGGGTCTCCAACCGTGGCTTTGCTGGCTGGGGAATTCTGGGAGTTGAAGTCTACCAGGCTTAAAGTGGCCAAGGTTGGAGACCCCTGAGGCCTAGATGACATTCCTTAAGTGGCAGGAACCATGTCTCCTACCAGATCTAATGGGATGGGTGCAAGTGTTTGGGTCCCAGCAAATAGACCACTCCTATACCATGGTTTAATTTCTAAGGATCAAGAGAGGAATTAATTATAAGATACAAAATTGTGTCGTCTGTGCAGGAAGAAAAGAAAAAAAGACCCTGAGCTGTAGAGAAACTCTAGTGATGGTATCTTCATAAATATTATTTTATAGAATATATCAAAAGATGCCAAAGACATGACTTGCTCACATGCCTGCTGTTCTCCAGATGTGCATCCAACCATCACTTAATGCCAAGTGTTAAGGAATACTGTTGAACTTATTTAAGATACGATCAAGTAACTTTACTGGAGAGTTTAGGTAACCGATGAATTTACATTAACAACACATCCAGGCAGTATTTCTGGCTGTATACAAAGCTTTCAGAAAGACCAAACAATACTGACATACTGCAAAACAAACACACATCTGCTTTACAAATTAACATGTGTTTGAAATCAGATTTACTAGCTGGAGATAGGCCACAATTTCAGTATTGTTTAGTTTTTTTTCAGAGTTAAAGGCAGTTTGAAAAATGCACCACTGCTGAAAAGGGAAAATTCGTTGTACTGTTACTCTTGCTATAAAGGTATTACAAATTATTGTGATATTTCACAAACCTGCTCACTCTTCCTGATTAGCCGGGATAGTAAGTCAAAAGAAAAGTTTGTATGGCCTCATACCATGGGACACAACACTTCTAAGTCACTTTCAACTCGTTCAGAAAATACCTATTGCCTTTTTATAAAGACTGCACTTCTGGTAGAGTTTGGAAGATCGTGCTTTCTAAACTTATCAGAAAACTTGTATTTCCATGATTCTCATGATATCGGAAACACAAAATTAATGATATAATCTTGAAATTGGTCTCATTTTTCAATATTAATATAGTCCATGTAAACCGCACCATATAAGCCTTAGTATACCATTAAACAACAATCTTCATTTTCATGAGGCTCATTGAGTATAAAGTTGTCTTACCTGGGGTTTTTATTGTTCAAACTGAGAGCAATCTCATTAACAGCATGAGGATGTGACATGACCAAATTGAATCCATACTGGAAGGGAAAGGAATTTATATAAATATTAGAAGTTATAAGAAACACTCAACTAAACAGATAGCCTTATTTAAGATGGAACATGCATAGCTAGAGACCCAAAGGTTCTTTTTCAAAAGGTAACTGGACTTTGTTTTTCCTTGAAGAAGTTTCACTTCTCATCTAAGAAGCTTCTTCAATTCTGACATCTTCAAGGAAAAACAAGAGGTCCAGGTGCCTTTTGAAAAATCACCTCTGGGACAGCCAGGACCTGGATGACTGAGAATCTCTATAGACACATACTGTATAGAGAGGTGATTAATGAAAAAGAGAAGTGAGGGGGAAAAAGAGAGAAGTTGGAAACGAGGATGGTTTGCAATGATAAAAAGTTATGGAGAAATACAGAGAAAGGTATTTATTTAAAGTAGATATAAACAGTTTCCTTTTTTGTCCCTCGTGATATTATTATTATTATTATTATTATTATTATTATTATTATTATTATTATTATTATTATTATTATTGTTATTTCTTTAGTGAGATTCACAGCCTTTGGGGGTGGGTGGTAGCTCAACAGTTCGAGTCCTAACGAAGACCTAGGAACTGTTCAGGTAGCGTCAGAGGATATAAGCTGTTCCAAATAGGGTGGTTTTTTGTAGAATCAGGGTATTCAAGTCTGATAAATTCAAGATTTCCAAATAGCGAGGCAGCCCTTTAGGTATTGCTCCAAGGGTTCCAATTACAATTGGGATAACACACCATTTCTTTTTCCAAAGTCGCTCAACTTCCATTTGTAAGTCCCGATACTTACAAATTTTTTTTTTTTTGCTGCGTGTCTTCAATTCGTGCATCACCAGGTATTGCAATGTCAATGAACCAACCCTTTTTCTTTTCAACTATTGTTATGTCAGGTGTGTTGTGGGCCAAGTGCCTGTCCATCTGAATTCTGAAGTCCCACAAGATCTTGACTTTTTCATTCTCCAGAACCTTCTCAACCTGATGTTCCCAGTAGTTGTTACTATACTCAAATCCAAACTTTTGGCAGTTTCCAGTGAACAACAACAACAACAACAACAACTACTACTACTACTATTATTATTATTATTATTATTATTATTATTATTATTATTATTATTA